TTAGGGCTTAGGGTTTAGGGTTTAGGGTTTAGGGTTTAGGGCTTAGGGTTTAGGGTTTAGGGTTTAGGGTTTAGGGTTTAGGGCTTAGGGTTTAGGGCTTAGCGTGTGTATTTCTAGTATGTTTGCACCGAAAAGTCTGGGCAAGAATTGGGCCCCCGACCCACGACCGAATCGATACCTTCGCCGAGCTGAGCTTCGGGACATGGAGGGGGGGTTCAGGGTTTAGGGCTTCGGGTTTCGAGGTCATCTGCGATGTAAATTGTCGGGGCTGCGGGTTTAAAGTAGAGGCATGTTGGTTCACAATCTGGGCTTAGGATTCAGGGCTTCGAGTTTCAACCAATCGGTGCCAAACTCTTGGACAAACCCCTAAACCCTGCACCCTAGATTTTTCTCTTGTCACACTTCCCTCGCCAAACGTGGACCTTCTGTCCCTACATGCTCAGTTTTGCTCGTGTGCTTGACGCGTCCTGCCATGCTGTTCATGATATAAATCATGCATGACCAATCAGAAGGAATATACCATATTTCCCATAGGTGAAGGCCCTAAACCCTAAACCCTAAGCCATCATTCCCGTAGTTCAGGGCCCTTAAGGTTATGCAGGATGTATATCATCAACCGTACCTAAACCCTAAAACCTAAACCCTAAAACCTCAACCCTAAACCCCAGCTTCTGCTGCAGGTGGCACATCCCTAGCCTCTGGGACCGGAGACGACAGGCAGCGACGGTCAGAAGGGTTTTAGGTTTCAGGCTTTAGGTTTTAGGTTTTAGGGTTTAGGGTTTGGGGTTTGGGTTTAGGGTTTAGGGTTTAATGTTTAGGGTTTAGGGTTCAGGGTTTAGGGTTTAGGGTTCAGGGGACACCATGTCTGCAGTTCACAAGGGGGGGCTATTACAAGGGTCTACGAAGGACTATAGGGTTTAGGGTTTAGGTTTTAGGGTTTAGGGTTTAGGGTTTAGGGCTTAGGGCAGGTGTCTACAAGAGTTTCTAGACAGGCGACTATAAAGGGCGACGACAAGGGTTACTACGATACAAGGGTATAGTGCAGGGCTGTCACGCAGACACGCGCTGCCCAGCTCGAGAAGGGAAACTCTTACACTCTGCTCCCGAAGCACAGAAGAGGAATGCCTCGCCTATATCGTTAGAATAGGGCTTGGGGGATATATTAAACTATCGGTATAATAAGGAACCCTAAGAAAAGGGGTTTAGAGTTTTAGAGCTATGTTAAACTATAGGTATAATTAATAAGGAACCCTGCGGAATAATGTTGGAAATTATTCAGGACCATGACCCCTAAAGCCTAAACTCCAAATCCCTGCTTTCCTGTAGCCGGTGCGAAATCCCGAGGATGGCCCAATTCTGATGATGTCGGCCACCTATCACACAAAAAAATACATGCGAAACATTAAACCCTAAACCCTAAACCGATTAAGCCGAGGTAACCCTAAACCCTAAACCCTAAACCCTAAACCGTCTGAGCCCGGTACGCATCATTTAGCCGTCACGGATTCATGCAAGATCCCCTTCTTAGGGCCGGGTGCTCAGCAGTCGTGGCACAATCATGCCATACCTAAAACCCCAACTCCGAAACCTCAACTCGGAACAAAAAGGATTTAGGGTTTAGGGCTTAGGGTTTAGGGTTTAGGGCTGAAGTTTTAGGGCTTAAGAGGGTTGAGGGCTCAGGGCTGCAAGCGTAGATAGCTAAGGCTGATGCAGTGCCAAAGCCCTGAAGCCGAAAACTTCAAGCCCCTGAACCCTATCTGTAATATAGGGGCCTTAATGATTGAAATCGGGTTTAGGGTTTAGGTTTAGGAGCCTTTATAATTAGAATAGGGTTTAGGGGTCCTTCATAGTATAAATAAACCCTAAACCCTAAAACCTAAACCCTAAACCCTAAACCCTAAGGAACCCTCAAAATAATATAGGTAATTATTTAGGCCCCCTACACCAACACTGAGCGCTGGAGGTTCATCCCAAGCCTGCGAGCAGCATCAGCAGTGAAAACTGTTGTAGCTTCATAATTTCAGAAAATGCTCGTCATTACAAAGGGTTTAGGGTTTAGGGTTTAGGGTTTACAAAGCTTAGGGCTTTGGCTATAGAGTATATGGTTTAGGATGGGTTTAGGATTCACACGACAAAACTACGGACATCCAACCCTCCACTCAACCTCGCGCCGTGCCAGGGTGCGGTGCGGTTTCAGCGAGGAACGCGCGAGCCTGCACAGGTGCAAACCAACTTACCAAGACTTATCCGTTTGCTACCATGTCAAAGTGGCCATGGGCCTCGTCATCAGCAGCTGTATGCTTTTTTTACTTGCATATAGCCATTACCCTGCTCAGTTCAAAACTACTACCATCATGCACAGTAGTAGCAGCCGCATCTGAAGTCCTAGTAATAGTAGTAGTAGTCGTCGTCGTCGTCGTAGTAATCGTAGTAGTCGTACTAGTACTAGTACTACAGTAATACAGTACTACAGTACTACAAGTACTAGTAGTAGTAGTAG